AAAATTGGACGCAAAGGGACCTTTGAAAAACGTCAATATGTGACGACTCGGGAGTGAGAATGTGTTGGCAAAACAGGTGCAGCGATTTATCTCCATATATGTGTCTCCTTTGTTCCTCTGGAACCCCAGAATAAAGATGACTCCCCACAGTAAAGCTCAACAGGCCTTCTAAATGTGGATCTGAATCCACAGCAGAAGCCYGAGTTTATTCTGTAAATGCCAGCACACGAGAAAAAAAAAACTTCAACTACAAGTGCCAGCTGAGTGTCTTTATCAAAGTGCGATGGTTTTTTTTTTGTTTTTTTTCCGTTTTGTGTTTTGATTACACAAGTAGAGTCCCCGAGTGTTTGGTGTCAGCTGCTTTGCACACAGACGTTAGATATTTATGATCATGCTTACACATCACTGCGAATCTGTCCCTTGTTCCCACAATCATTCTTTTTTCTTCACTTCTTCTCTCCCTCTCTTTGCTCACCCTGGTCTTTTATCTGCCCTTCATCGGCTTGACAAGTGTTGTGTGGTCAGCTGTTTTTTTTTTGGCTCCTCAATTAGTGCTATCATCGCATTTCATCCTGCAGAATACGGGGATGGTAATAACCTTACACTCCTCTTGCACGGTGATACAATTCTGCTGTGATTAATTGAAGTCCCCTCAGAGTCTGAGGAGGTGTAGATCTTCCCTTTCACACTCGCTGACAGGCAAGCCATTATATTGTTTTATAGATCGCCGTCAGTAGCCCTTGAAGCCGCCTGCGGCCCACTGTTGTTTTGGAGGGTTTTATTGTGCAGGGTTATTGGTTGCTATTGCTGACAGGCAGAGCAAAGGCCACCCTGGGATTACTGGAGATGGGATCTCTGTGACAGGTCCACTGTATTTGACAGTAGCGCTGGAGACTTGAAAAAAGCTTGCTCTGCAGAGTCTGTAGCAAAAAAAAAATAAAAAGTGGTAATTTGTTTTGGAGCCATGGACGAAAGTTGTGCCACCGTGACACCGCACTACTGCACAATGACATCCATATTCTCAAACGAGAGCTGAAACAAAATGGTCGCTTTTGTGCCGTTTGGATGTGACACAACACTGCAGCTGTGCAGAATAACCGACATAGGACAGATTGCCTTGCTATTGTATTTGTCTTTTTCAAAAACTGCTGTCACGCAGGCGTTGCAGMAGGAACCAGCGGAAGTCAGAGAGCTGACAGAAGCTTCGAAAGACTCCTTGATATGCATGAGGTGACATCCAGAAGAAGAACATTCTGATAAGAGGCTTGTTTCTAGTTTTAAGGAGCCACCCCAGGCAGAATTTATGTTCTCCGCCATCTTTCTGCTCCTTCTGTCAGATCAATAGGGCTTAATAAAAWAGTCTATATTGGTTTTACGGGCTTGAAACAAACCTTTCAGCACTTTAGTTTTTACAACGTATAAAACTGTGCATGTGTGCTGTGTAATCACACAATTAGAACTATATGTTCAACCCAAACGCAAAAGGTAGGGACCTTTTCAAGAATAGGTTAAAAAAGAATGCAGTGTGCAAATCTCATGAATTCATGYTTTATTCACAGTAGAACATAGTAAACGTATCACATGTGGCAATAACAAGAAAAATAATCAAATAAAAAATAGGTTAATATTGAATTAAATAGTAGTAACACATTAAAAAAATAAGWCTGGGCAACAAAAGGCTGTGAAAATAAGAAGTGCAAAATAATAAAGAAACAGCTGGAGGAGCGTTTTGCAACAACAGGTCAGAAAGAGGACTAAATAAAGAGGTTGAATCTTAGACTTAAAGATGGATGGAGGTTTACCAGCCCATGAAAAACTGCATCTGTACTCTATAATKTTCCTCAACAAATAATTGGAAAGACTTTAAATTGTGAAAGACGACCCAGGATTGTAGAACAGCTGGAATTTGACATCAGACAAGAAGAGGACAACTTTCCCCTTCAAAAATCTGCAGCAACTGGTCTCCACAGCTGCTGAATGTTTACASAGTTCTTCTCGGAAGGAAACATGGCTCTGACCTTTTAAAGATGTGTTGCTGCCAAATCCAGATTTACAATTTCAAAAAAAAACAAAAAACAAACAACAACCTTATTTCCTCTCAAAAAAGCAGTGTTGTA